ATTACACATGGATCGAGCGTAGCATAATTATTAACAAAAATGTTTTGCCAAAGGTTTCGTTCGTTTCTATCTGTAACATAAAATGTCAACTTAAAGTTACTATTGATTGAGGAGATAAGATTATTTTTTGGGAGATACAATTGCATTTGTGTTGTTACAGAGCCCTGAACACGACTTTATCTTTCAGCTCCTTACCAACTGTCTCTATCTCTGTTACAAAGTCATGTGTGACTTGGTAGGCATGTTCACATGGCGGTGACTCTATCGATGATGGAGTCAATGGCCTAGGCCTTGTACGGACTTCAGTAGGACTACTTTCATCTGAAAAAAAGCAACGTAAAAAAGCTTTTACAAAATGATTAAAACCAGACTTCGCCCTGTGTTGTTAAGAACTCTGACTGATCCGTTATTTATCGCAAGTCGACCCTCGGATTATATTATATTAGTTTGGGATATTGAAATGGTTGAGATAAAATCATGGAACATGTAGCGACAAATTGTCAATTGAAAGAGTAAATATTATACGGTTTAGAAACACATTGATAATACATTACAGGATATCACAGGATATATATACATATTCATATGTATTCCTCCAGTCGTGACCGCTCCTGATAGGACATAGTCTTACCCTTTGTGTCTGCAGGCTCAGGTGATGTTGAAATTATCGTTTCAAGATGTTGCTTGCTTCTCGTCAGCTCTACGGGGAGCTGAGATGCTGAAAATACAATGTTTAATCAAAATCAAATCAGAATCGAACCAGAATAGCAGAAATATAATGTCATTTTTTCGATTTTGTTCAAATCGTCTCTTTACAATTATGACATTGTTGCATATAACAAGCTCGCCGACATTCTATTTAATGCGTGTTTATTTTTACCCTACATTTTTCACTTGTACCCATGAGGGTTTTGTGAAACGATGCCCTGCATATCAAAAGGAAAAATAATAATAATATCTATTTTTAAAATCTTACATTTGGATGTTCCCCGTCCAACATCATGTGGTTCAGCTTTGCCTTTGGACGATGCAGATCCTGTCAGAGATGATTGGGCACTTGGATTCTCATGCGGCACATCTAAATTGTGAATACATTATATCAACATGATTAAACGCGATTATAATTGTCTTAATTATTATTTATATAGGCCTATAGACATAAACAGGGTGGCCCAATATAAACGAAATACCAACATTTCAATGATGTTGGGTCAAATTCAGTGGTACATGAGATGCAGTAGTATAATCTTTTCACATGAAAAAAATGATACCAGGATCGACAAAACTGGTACAAAATTTAATTTTGTTTTCCTGAGCATACATCCGGTATCAATAAAAATGCGTTTTAAAATTCGTATAATATCATGTCTTTATTACACAAGTCATTGAAAAGAAAAATGATTGTGGGAAGTAATGTTTGGGTTAAATCGGTTTTGTCACAGCTTGTCCGAAGCTTGGGCAAATAACCATTCCAGCCCCAAAATACGATCTTCTCTGCCAGCACTGCCAGTGGAAGTCTTTAATCTATTCACCTCCCCAACAAGAAATCACGCTCTTGGCATTACCATTGTACCATACTTGGAATGTGATATCCTTCGTGATCTTTTGCTCCAAGATGAAAGTGACGAGAACTCCGGACACTACTTTTTCTCGTTGCTGAAGAGTGAACGGCATCCGATTGGTCGTCATGTCAAAGAAAGCACATTCTGCAAGTTCCTAAAATATTAAAAGAAATAACCATCAATATTAACACCCTACGAAGGTATTGGAACTTTATCATGGTTCATTCTAATTCAAAAGTGATACCATAAATTATGGCCCATGTTTGAATCGAGCTTCCTAAAATAATATTTTTACGAGAACCAATTAGTAACCGCAAAGTAGTTTCATGCATCGGTCCGCGTGACCAGGGCCGTAGCCAGAGTTTTATTTTTTTTTTTTTTTTTTTTGGGGGGGCACATACATGTAATTGATTGACGTCTTGGGGAGGGGTCTAAAAAAGTTCAACCGATCTTGGAAATTTTCGGGGGCACAAGCTCCCCCGTGCCCCACTCTTTCGCTACGTATTTCTTTGTTTTCCCTTCGTTTCTCCTTCAATCTATCCCCTTCTACATGTATTTCGTTATGTATTTCTTTGTTTTTCCTTGAATTTATCCTTTTCTCCTTTGTATTTTCGAGTTGTTTTTCCTTATTTAATTAATCTATCCTCTTCTCTTCTGTCATGTATTTCCTTGTTTTTCCTTCTCCATATTCTCTCCACTCTTCTTATGTATTTCATTGTAATGTTTTATCTTTTCTATCATCTTCCCTTCCCTGTGTGTATATGCATGTACTATATTGCTGCTGGTGATACAAACGAGTATCTCTTTGGTGATACCTACCGTGATGGTACGTGCGTGCTGACCGTTAGACTCTTACACCAGAGCACTTCTATGAATTTTTTTCGCGAAAATGGATAAACAGTTGAGTAAAAAAATATGCGCGACCAGGTATGGCTCCGCTCCGTAACTCGCTGCGATGATGGTTATCGCTTCGAGCCCTCTGTAGATGCGAAGCGGAAACAAGGTATTGGATTACACATTGTTGGCAAATTGATAATGAGATGGCGCTGTGCAATGAACAGTATGCTAATGCAGAAAGTTCATCAGTTCAGTGTTGCTATAAGAAAACTCTAGCCCGTTTCTTTGGTAATTTGGACAATTTATATTAGGCCCTGCAGAATAAGTAACGAAAGATTGTTAGTCAGAATAATTTCCTTTGGGGGAAACAACAGTAACAATTATATTGAGATTCTTACCTTTTTCGTCACTTCGTCTTCGTTTTCCAGATGTCTGACAAATAGGGGGTCCTTGTCTCCAATATATACAGTACTGCTCACCAGGGAAAGCTACCTTGTAGTCTCGTATGGTATCCTGCAAGAGGTTGAACAGATTGAATCCATATTTGGCAGAATGATATTGACAACAATAATAACAATTGCAATAATTTTGTTCTTCCAGAGGGCACTGCAATATACTCCAACATTTGCAGGTTCTCGGATACACCTGGGTGGCAAATATGGATAAATGTCTTGTCAATGAACGTTAACGTTAGCGCCGGGCTGGCATTCGAACCCTCAACCCTTGGATTCGGAGTCAAGTGAATGAACGAATATACCACGACACCTCCACAAAAATGGGTGATGAATTTTGTATGAGTCTCGAACTGATTAATTACTTCAATATGTAAAACGTTTATTTGGTTTGAATTATTATATTTGTGATTTTTCAATATTTGTTGTTTTTGTGATTTGACTTAGACGAAATTGGAAGCAAAATGATGAAATCGATAAAGTCCGAAAATGAACGACCAAGAACGACATAGACTATGATATGTGCAAAATTAGGAAGTTCTGAGACGAAATTGAATGAAGAAAAAAAGAAGATAAATACCCATAACAGGCGCCAAAAATATACCGAACTGTTAATTCATGATAAATCTACCTCTTTCATGCCGCAGAAGTCGTCTTTAATATTGAGCAAGATGTAGTTCATGACATCTCTGGCTGTTGACAGGGGAACGTATGGCGTACAGATGAGCCGTTTACCGATGAAGTATCTCCTGATTAAGGAGATAATCCACCATTCCGAGAAATGGTCCAAGTACAGAGTCAGGTGATTATTTGCGACCACACACCGAGCAGCTTTGTCAGAAGCAGGAACTATCCTTGAAAATTCATCAGACTCTGTCAAAAAAAATAAAAAAATAAATAAGGGACCGTGTTAATTTTGTTACGCAGTGAACTTTCATACTCTTGGAATTTCTTTCACAAATAAAGAAAGCAAGTATTTTTCTGCAAGTTTTGCGGGTTCACTGGGGAGCCTTGTTAGAGGGTCATTGTTTACTAACGATCAATGACGTAAAAACATGTAAATTGCTTTTTGGTGATTGGCTATTAAAAATGTTTTATGCATTAAATCATTCTCATAATTCCCCTCGATCTTTCCACAAGAATCTTGAAAATGGCGGCTGTAGGAATTGTGTGACTTTTAAGTCATTCAAACACAAAGACTGAAACATTTTTATTTTAAGCGAATTTCTTTTATAATAGAAGATTATCAAGTAAAACTCAGTATTAAAATTAAAACTTTCTGAGAGGAACATCAACATTAAAGTGAGGTCATTATGATACCAAGAATAGTATAGGAAGGATTAATTTTGTGTGAAGATCTCTGTCATAATTGCTGTGTGTTTGTCGTGGCAGTCAGGGGGCTCTTTACACTGCCACAACATATTTTCCCTTTCCCTTCCGTTTTTCTTTTGTTTGACCAAAAAACATTAACTGATTGAATACACTTAAATTTAATCAGTCAACGCCTATTTATTTGAATACAATGAGAAATGTACACTAGATCATTTTATCGCGATACCTCTCACACTTTGAAAGTTCAGGTCAAAGTTTGATTACCGACAATAATCAGTGGTAGATATGGACCTGTTACAGAGACTGCCGCGTGAACATGAATTCTGTGATCTGCAGTCCGGTGACGTATCCACAAGACCACCACATCTCAACAGTTTTTTTTATACAAAGAAGAAGGCAACTTTTAGCATACGCTTGTCTTATGTATATCGATACGCCTTCAATTCAATATAAATCTAAGAGCGAATCAAAGAAGATTAGACAAAGAGAGAGAAATAAAAGAAACGGAAGGAATTTATATCGAAATATGGGATCTTTGGTAATAGGAATATCTCACCAGTCCTTCGGGTGTATAGCACAATTTCTGCCTTGTCTGGGTTGGTGAAAATAGCGCTATGCGAGACCGTGACTTCCACCGGAGTTTTAAACTGAAGACCAGGAGGGGATAGCTTGAGCCCAACTGAGATGATAACTTCGTCTTTGTTCAGGTTTAAGTCATGTGGAACGGTTGTCAATGCTTCTGCTGTGATATATTTCGCTCTGTCCTCATCTTCTGGTGAAAGTGAAACCTTGATGCTGTACTCGTCGAGACTTATAATCATTGTCTCTTCTCTGATGCTCTTCCTCGAGGAGCGAGAGATGTCTTGTGGACTGGTAAGATATGGATCGTATGTTCGGGAGTATGGGGGCATATAGCTAGGTAAAGCCCCACTACCAAAAATACTGCGAAGGTAGTCATAGTGGTCCTCTTCATTAGCAAGTTTTCCCGGGTCAGCACCTTTCCTGACAAGGTATTTGACAATAGCAAGATGACCCTTGAGTGAAGCTATGTGAAGAGCAGTTATCCCATATTTATCACCAATTTCGATACCTGCTCCTTTGTTAACGATATACTGGACGACTTCGAGATGGCCTTTTTGAGAAGCACAAAACAAGGGTGTCCTGTCGTTTTTGTCACATTTGTCAAGCTGTGCCCCTTTACTAACAAGGTATTTGACAATACCAAGATGACCCTTGAATGATGCTCTATGAAGAGCTGTTATCCCATCTTTATCACCATTTGTAATGTCTGCTCCTTTGCTCACGATATACTTGACGACTTTAAAATGGCCTTTTTGAGAAGCACAAGACAAGGGTGTCCTGCCTTTTTTGTCACATTTGTCAAGCTGTGCCCCTTTACAAACAAGGTATTTGACGATATCAAGATGACTCTTGAATGAAGCCAAACTAAGTGCGGTCTTACCATCGTCGGTACTCCTATCCAGCTCTGCTCCTTGACTGATTAGATATTTCACTTCATCTATATTTCCAGTTTGTGATGCATCATGTAGTGCTGTACATCCACCTTTACCACACGTGTTAATATTGGCTCCTTCTGTCAAAAGGTACTCTGCTATGTCAAGATGGCCACTGTATAAAGCAAGGTGTAGAGGGGTCCAGTAATCATTAGCAATTCTCCCTAGGTCTGCCCCTTTATTAACAAGGTATTTGACAATGTCAACATGACCTTCGACTGATGCTATGTGAAGAGCTGTAAACCCATCTTTGTCACCAACATCAAGATCTGCTCCTTCGTTCGCTAACAGCTCTACCACATGAAGATGGCCTTTCTTTGAGCATAAGTGAACCGATGTCTGTAGGTTAGCATCGACTACATTCACTTTTGCTCCATGATGGGTAAGGCATTTAACCGTTTGCAAATGTCCGTTTTCCGAAGCAATGTGAAGGAGTGTCTGGCCAGACTTATCCGAGCAGTTTACATCAACTCCTCCCGAATCCTCTGACTTGTCCTCCGAGTCGATTAATGATTGTATCTTCAGGAAGTCTCCTTTTGCTGCTGCTGAAAACAGCGCCATGTTTAACGCAATTCACACCCACAACGTTTTTCTCTTGATGATAATATATCACCGTGCTCTCAAAACATCATGTTTTTTTTATTGTAATGTAACATTGAACTACTGTGTAAATTAGCCTGTACCCTGTAGTACCGATGATATTTGGTCTTTTCTGAAGGAACACTCAAGCGTGATTATATGAAAGCATTACATAAATTGAACTTTGCATTCAGATCCGTATTCAGCTGTAGAAGTCTGCCTACATTACTGTGCTGCGTATTGCAACAACACAGTCCTATTGCCTTGCCATTTCTCTGTATTTCTTTTGGCCTGAACTATACCTGGTTTCAGATTAATTTTGCGCGAAAGAAAAAGAACATGGCGGATCAATATTTCATTACGCCTCATTCATAACCAGTGCTAGGTTGACGTGCCCCCCCCCCTTCCCCACGCACATAAACACACACACAAACAAACACATCGAATACTAAGAAATATGAGAGAAAACAGGAAAAAGAGAGAAAGATGAAAAGGACAGAGGAAAATAAATGAATACAATCTCAACCATCGCTTTTCTTTCAAACTCTACATGTGTAATTCTGTAACCTGCTGATGTAGAGTACTCGCTTCATTGATCTAGAAGTGGCAGAATATAAACCAAATTTGTCAGTATATCTCCATCAATAATGAGCATTATGAGATGCTAACAAAGTGTTAGTCATTCGTCTTTCTCCATGTACATATATTATGTACTTTGCTCAAAATGTATTACTTTCATAATTCTCATATTGAATACATTCTCAGAATTTTTTTTACTAAAAAAAAATGGACTATCATCCTATATCTTGAGAATGAGTTCTAAAAATAAAAAAGACAAATTTTGATTCATGTGTGGTTCAACTAACAGAAGATGCCAGACCGACTAAAGATCGGACACACTATAACATTGCCCCGAATCGCTAAGAATCGGTCGATTTGAAGTCGGTTTGGAGGTATGATTAATACCCCAGTCACACTGGCACACCGGCTTCGTACCGGCTCCAACGAGTTCAAACTGACTTATTGTTGGCCTCTGTGGATAATGTAATCGGTGCTCTGCTCTGGTCTGGGTGCACGTGGATGTCTTTGTATTTGATTTGTTGTAGTACGTATTACAAGAATAAGGTTTACTTCTATTTTCTTTATGGATCTTTTCTGGGGACTGCAGCTACTTAAACATCACCTTTATTTTTTTGTTCCATTCAGCAGACAATATTATGGTTCGTGATTGTTATGTCACTGTCCTCCAAAGACAAGTTTTCGGAATGTATTATTGTTATAGTGATGAATTTTAACAATCTATCCTTTCTTGTTCTTTTCTTTCCTTTTTCTTTTCTATCCCAGATATTTTCCGATTGCAAGGATAAATCTGTGGGTATTATTTTGCAAGAAACATATTGAGTTTAATGTGGGATTGAAGTTGTTATTGGTACTTTTCACAGTATAGGTGTTCTTGTGTTGATTGATTTACATTTAGAATTCAAGGTTCTTTCTTTAATTTCAGATCAAATCGGGATATATTGAACCGGGGTTAGAAATTATGATACATTGTAAATGCGTATTCTCCAGTAAGAGGAAAGGGGTCACAAAGGCAATAGTTTTTGCATGAATTAAAAAGGGATTTGGATAATACGGGTAGAGTTTAATATAATAGGGGAATATTTTAATTTGATGAGTAGTCAGTATGGTATCGGTCGCATTGGTATGACTGAGATATAAGGTTAGATAGGCTTGGTCACATATAAACATCAACAATTAAATCGGTCTGTGTAGAATAATGTGTAGACCAGTTCGTAATTAGCACATGGTTCGAATCACCTCAAACATCTTCAGATATCTTAACTTTTGTTTAAAGTTACCTAGGTTTGTCCATGTCAAATTGTTTATACAAACTGGAGTACTGGATCCGAGAAAGTCGTTGCTGAAGGATCATTTGTGGGTTGAATACCCTAACTATACCTTTAATTCAGTATTCCGAAAATCAGAAGTTTTCAGAATATCACCCCAACATGTATTGCTTCATGGTATGAAATATATATCTGTTGTAAGTAAATTGCTTCTAGAATGGTCAAAACCTGTGGCGCTGAATTGTTAAAAACATTGTCATTGGGTAGTTCTCTAAACAACCAGCAGCTACCTACATGCAATTAAATTCTAAGAGCGTATACTGATTAGCGTTCACTTTCAGTGTTGTCAAATACAAACACGCATGATACATGTAATAATCTCAGCAATTTATTCTCTTTCTGCCAAATTATTTGTGTATAAAACCCTTCACTGATGAAGCATTGAGAGCTCTACAGAGTGAGTCAGAAAAAAAAATTCCCACTTTTTGAAGTTGTATTGTTTGAAGTAAGAACATTGAATCGTGGATTTCATGATATCTCTTGATAGAGTTATCCTCCCAGTACATTTAGGTACCATTTTCATTTGAATCTCTGCATGCATGACTGAACATCAGACATTCTTTACAAGACTGACAGATCTCACTTGCACCAAGTAGCTAGATGAGGAATAAAATAGTGTTTTGAACACAGACTGCCAGACAGACAAGGCCCACCCAAACTGTTACTTTTTGACGGGAATTCTACCTCTCATACGGAAAGTTGAGTGGCTGCTGTCCTCTTGGTGCGTATTGTCGGATGTTGTGCTTCATGATGATGATGATGATGAAGATTAAGATGATGACAATGATGATGATGATGATGACATGATGGTGGTAGTGAATTTGTACTAAAGGGAAATATTGTCAGGGCTATGCCACTTAAACATTCAACGATCTTGATAAAAATCATTGCTTAATCAGAAAAGGGGAAATTATGAAACAATTGTCACGGTGTGTGCGTGTGGGTTTGCGTGTGTGTGTGCGTGTGTGTGTGTGTGTGTCTGTCTGACTGTCTTTGTTTAATGCACTGTTTTATTCCTCACCCGGTAACTTGGCGCAAGTGAGATCTGGCAGTCTTGTAAAGATTGTCTGATGTTCAGTCATGCATGCAGAGATTCAAATGAAAATGGTACCTTAATGTACTAGGAGGATAACTCTATCAAGAATAGCATGAAACCCATGATTAAATATTCATACTTCAAACATTACAACTTGTACAAAGTGGGACATTTTTTCTGACTCACTCTGTATAGGACCGCGTTCCAGTCAATGCCCTTTATGAATGACTGGTAATCTAACGTCATTGGGTGTGCAAATATGTCATTTCTTTTCAAACTGAGATTCTCACAATATATTCAACTTAATTCAATTCAATTTATTTCAAACACAAATAAAAATACATATCATATAAAATATATAATGTAATGTGCTATCCATAATACATTGTATGTAGGAGTGCCCCATGGAAGAAGGCACTAAGGAGAAAAACAGAAAATCCTGATATTTTTGTACACAACAACGAAAGAATTGTCCACGAATACATCACAGTCCATTGACCCAATTGCCAATTTGAGATTCGCATATAGATTTAGAGATATCATTTTTCAAACATTCATAACTGCTTTATTATTTGACCGATTTATTCAAACGTTTGCAATCATGAGTTTCTTTTTTGTTTGCTTTCATACAAAATTAATGAACTTCATAACAAAGGAGCGCCTATCATACCTATCTATAACGAATATCATCATGATATACATAAAAGTTTAATTAATCCAATGCAATTAAAAATATATATGTACACAAAAAAATACATAAACAGTTTGATAGTAGAAGAAGAATAAGTGTCGAATAAAATAACATAAAAGACGAACCCATTTGTAATAAACGTTTGAATGAGAAGGATCTCAGTACGCAAAACGTAATTATGTTCAGTTTTTTTATGAGGGATCCCCTTTATCTTGGCAGATTTCTTCCTCAATTCCTTAGTTGTCTTCTTTATAAAGATTTCGTCTCTCCAATATATATTTTTTGTTTTTAATGACATTTAAAAAAAAAGGATACTCGCATATGAAAGGCAATAAAATCGCTGGTCTTGCCTTGCTCCTGGCCACAGGAGCTAATTGTTTTAGTAATCTTAAACACAATATTCAATTTAATACCTGTGGTTCCTTCTAGATACTTTCAAATGTTGAATTCATTTTATATCATGTGATTTGAGTTGATGTTAATTCACTTCCATAAACATTTACATCACTTTTCTGCTTACAATCCTGTCAGTGTTTATTATTTTTATTAGATTTTTGTATTTGATAGATTTATTTACGAAAAGCAAATAATTACCATTTATTCCATACAACGATATTTATATGTACAAGAAGAGAAAATATTGGTTGGTAAAATGGGCGGATAATAGCATATGTGCTAGTCGACCCTAACGCCTTATACACAGCTCAACAATGTATTTTGTACAAGTTACTTTCAGAAAGCAAAACACAAACAAAGAAATTAATTTACTATTGCAATCAATACTATACAAATATATAACTTTAACAATGTCTTACAAAATACGAAATATAATTGTTGTACACATACAGACTATTTGCATGGATTTTTGATTCATGATTTGTTCAACAAATGTGTTGTAACAGAATCTGACATTAATAGGTAATCAAGTAACTAACCACAAGAGACAATGGAGATCGACCATGTGTCGTTCTAAATTTTTGCAGACGTAATTGTTAACCTTCTGTTTGCCCGGTTGAGTGGCTATACTCTAGAATATCACAGTAATCTATCAAAATATAAGACACACTTTTATTAAACAGATCAAACATGAAAGTAATTGAGCTGTATGAGTAATTTGATTTGATTTGATTTGAATTGATTTATTTATTTCTGTTTGATTTTCTTTTTCTCTTGCATTTTTACAAATATATAACAAACAAATATTGCAAATTTACACATGACAAAAGAATATATGTAGAATAAAGTAAGGCTGGGTGTAACTAATCGAGAACATCAAATAGGAGGGTTGACAAAATAAGCAAAGCTTGATAGTATGACTACCCTCAAAGGATACATAATAATACAAATA